TTCTTATACTACACATGAGAATGTCAGGAATCTCCTATTTGGCAATTGTGCAAGTGGTAAGCAAATGTGTTCTCTACACTGTGACCCCTGACCTGCCGGGGTCATGGCGTACACCTGGGGACCTGGGACAGTTGTCTACTTTTGAGAACACACAGGTCCACAGTGAGAGGAAACACATACTCAGGGACACAACTCACTGCAACCAATCATATGAAATATTATGCATAGAAGGCAATCCATAAATATTAGGACAGTTTCTTCCTCGTTTTTCTTTCCATGTTTCAAGTGAACTACAGAAACTGACCTAAAAGATAAAATCCTGTGAAAAAGACTAGTTTTAGGACACGGCTTTCTACGTTCAACACTATATGCTAAACATCTGTTATAAAAGTCATTTGAGGATGTAAGAATGGAAAGGTTGAACTAAGACAATCAAAAATTAAATATAAAATTTTATGATGTCAGACAAACTAAAACTTCGGAAACGCATCGTCTCAAAATTATGTAGTTTTTATCAGGCTGACACAGCTTGTGGACAGCTTCTACAAGAGTAAGAATGAAGTATAAGCATTTACAAAATACGGATGTATACAACGGAAAATAACACAGAGACCAGTAAGATCTTACTTGAAATGAGCATACTCTCAAATACTGACATTATCTTCCAACCTCAGGAAATAAGAAATTGTCTGCTGTGAGCAAGTAGCAAACTGAAAACCTGTGGAAAGAATAGTTTTAGAGAATACTTTTTTTTTTATAATCAACACTTTATGAACATTGGTTATAAACAGATGTTTAGGGTGTAAATTGAGAAAACTAGAACTAAGATAAGTAATCGATAATTAAGTATAGCACTTGGGAAGGTCACACAAATTAAAAATTTAAAAGAACATAATCTCCAATATCTATAACTCAAAGTTATCTATATTCTGTTAAAATTAAACCATAATAACTTTGATCTTGACAGTGTTTACTATTTAAGACAGTACAATGACTCATAAATAATACAACGGCCTCTGCACACAGACGGCACAATGAGTATTAATTGAAACGAAGACGTTGGCTTTACCTGCTAGCACTGGGCGTTTGATTTCAGCATACATTAATTGCTTTTATGGCCAGAGCAAAGTACTCCTAGAATTTGATCACAGGGTTCATTTGAGAGTAACACAGATGAGAGTCCACATAAAGTGAATGGGCTTATCCTCCTCTCAGTGTAAATTATCTTAAGAGATGTTTTGTAAAAGAGCAACTAATAATGATGGGAGGGACGCACAAGATGTGGGTGAGTGTATCTTCAGGATGACATGGCAGAAGTTCGATTGGTGGAGAATCTACTCAGTTGTATTTCTTGAGTAATTACCAGTCAAAAGAGCAGTAGTTCCCCTGGAATCCTGAGAAACAGGGAATGGAGGATCAGATTTTGTTAGCGTTCATCTTAGGTTTATGTGTTTCGGCTGTTGGTGTTCCCTCGCTGAGACGCGGCTCTGTAAGACGTTCCTCTTCCTCATGCATTGCGGTCTCTGGGACCTGCTGCAGCGGGACTGCGTGCCCAGCCCTGTTACATTCAGGTCGGTCGTGCTCTTACAAAGGAGCATGAGCAGAAGGGACTGTGCTGCTGTGTCTAGGGCTGCCGTGGATAAGAAGTGGACGTGCCTCCTCACCCGTCCTCTTCCCATTACTGGCTGGCGGTGAAGTCTTTCAAGGCCTGGGGCAGTAGAGTCAGGAGATGGAAGGAGTCTGGGTCCCTGAATCAGCAGGTGGAATGCTGCCCCCACCCACACTCATATAGGACTTTACTTGAGCAAGTGATAAACTGTTTTGTTAAATCACTGTGGTTTGAGGTTTACCTGTTACTGCTTTACCTTAACTAATATATTATTTAACATTATTATGGAGATGGAAAGGATGAGAAAGTACTAGTGCTTCTAAAACTAAAATATTATTGGCTCCCAATACCAGTTCACTTTTGTAAAGAGCATCCATTTACTGCACAATATACTGGCTTTTTGTGTCTTGCAGGGTCCTAGAGATGTGTTTGGTTTCTCATTTAATTATTTTAATTAATAGCATAGGTTAACTGAAGTAAACACTATCGTATAATATTGAATATTAAGGTGAAGAGATGCAAGAAGGATATTTTCAAAGAAACAAACGCCGGTACAATTTTGCATAGCCCAAGAAAATTCTAAAGTGCTTTTAATAATTGCTTAATTTAATTTTGCCTTTTACTAACATATGTAAGCAGCATGTGGTGATATATATTTGAGAATCAAAGGGACTAGAAATGCTATGAAAAAAATTTAATTCCAAAATTAATGCACGTTCATTCATTGCAAGGTTTTTAAATGCAAAAGTATTTACTTCTCATAGTTTACTCCTTTTCCTGAAAGCAACTCTGTGAATCATTTAGTGTACATCATTCCAGATCATTCCCCGATGAAAGTACATACAAACATATGTAAACACACGTGTGCACCCTCATACGCATATACTCATGTAAAAGCTCACATAAAGCTTGGAGTTCCCCCTACACAAAGGAGAAAGTATTGTAAAATGACACTTGCTTTCTTTACTTAAACTATATTTGATGAGTGTTTTCCAATGCAGTCCATTATGGCTCATGCTTGCTCTGTTCAATAGCTGTATTATAATTTATCCATGAGTTGGAATTGACTTGACAGCAACTAACAACAGTGATTCCAAAATTATTAAACATTAGATCATCTTTTTAAATTTTCACTGAACTTCAATTTAAAATCATTGTACACATTTCTTTGTGCAGATAAATATGTAAATATTTCTGTAGAATAGATTCTCAGAATTAAATGCACATTTTAAGTATTGAGTAGATATTTCCAATTTTTTTCTCATCCAAAATTTATGCCAATGTATACTTCTACCCACAGAGTATGAGCGTGTACTTATACCTACATACTCTCCAACACTATATGTTATCAATCTTTTTTTTTTTGTCAATCTTCACTGAATAAATGCAAGCTATTAATATTATTATTTATAGCTGCAATACTAGGGCAGACTTAGAGATCTGGGACTCTTTGTCAATGAAAGTTATTCTTAATCTTTTCTAAGTGGGATAATGAAACTCCTTTTTCTTAGGGTGGACATTTCATGTAGAACTTCTTACCTCTTACGCTCTAAGATAATTCATAATTCCTAGATCGTTAACATATTCAGTCATTCATTAGTTTGGTGGTTACTTCTGAATTCTGACAATGTGCAGAACTCAGGCGTTAATGATATTCAATTATTTTCCAAATAATCCATTTTAATTTTGTCTTCTTTGGAAAAGAAAAAAATTCAAATACTAGTAAGCTGGTAGAAAGACCAGTTACCATGCAGTCATTTCCAACTCACGGTAACCACATCTGTGTCGGAGTAGAAATGTGCTCCATAGGGTTTTCAATGGCTGAGTTTTCAAAAGTAGATCACCAGCCCTATATTTTGAGGCACCTCTGGGTGGAGTTGAGTGCCAACCTCTCGGTTAGCAGCCAAATAATTGAACAATTTCATCACCCCGGGATTATGGACACTAGTAGAGAGGCATAGAAATAGAACTGGAAGATGCCTAAAGATCTGTAGACCATCATTTCCTTTTTCATTTGGGCAACCAATGTCCAGAGGAGCTAGGTGACTTTTCCAAGGTTATGCAGTGAGTTAGGAGTAGAATTGGGACAGGAACCCAGACATGCTGTCTCTGAACCAGCACACAGAGGACTGAATCAGATAGTGCCCAATGATCTCTCTCTTCTCTTCACCCAATGTGGTTTCAAATGTTGAAAATGAACAAATGAGCAAGGAAACAGGTAAAATAAATAAATAAATCAGGTAAAATTGAGCCAGAGCTCTACTGAAAGTTTATCAAGAAGGCAGGGACTATGGTCTCTTCCAGGCTAGCAAACCATCACAGCTATGAAGTACCGAGAGACTGAATTCTAACTCTCCTCCCATTTCCTCTCTTCCTCCTAAGAACCACAATTTAACAGTGCTTCCCTATACCCTTAATAGTATAAATGTGGTTGGTAGACCAGCAATACCAGTAAGACCTGGGCCCCTGTTAGAAACACCAGGCCCCCAGACCATCTATTCAGACCTGCTGAATCAAAATCTGTGTTTTTCACGACCCTCAGGTGGGTAGTGTTCACATGAACATCTGAAAAGCACCTGTCAACACTACCTGGCAAAGAGTAAACAGCAGTCCTCCAGGTCCATGCCTGGCAGTGCCCACTTGCCTTTATCACTCCGTTTACTGGTTAACTTCCTTATATGAGCCAATAACTTTCATGCAAAATATCTCAACAGCCTGCCCACCAAACCCAAATCCACTGCTGCTGAGTTGATTCTGATTCATAGTAATCCTATAGGATAGTGTTTCTCTATAAGGTTTCCAAACCTGTAAATCTGTACAGAAGCAGGTTGCCACATCTTTCTCCCACAGAGCTGCTGGTAGATTTGAATTGCCAAACTTTCAGTTAGCAGCCGACTGCTTTAACCACTGTGCCACCGGGGCTCCTTCAGCAGCATGCAGCACAACTAAGTATCCTTGAGTTATCCTTTAACGGGTCAAGCGCAATTGTGGGTAAAGGGACAGGGTGTCATCGGGTTTGAGGATCACTTCCTTGGCTGCAGAATTTTTTGTTTTTAATCTACCAAATCCTGTGACATCTGTGGTGAGTGAGTTGCATAGCAGATTATGGAGGTAGAGACTGTAGTCAACTTTTCAGACCCAGAAATGTGAATTAAAATAACTTTTAATTTTATAGATGCTCAACTCAATGAAGGACCTAAGAAAAAAAATTATATTGGATTAAATCACATCTGATAGAAAGTCAATGATGTAAGAAAGCAAAAGTATCCTGCAAAGGAAGAGATCGGGCTCGCTCTGGGCAATGACGACACAGGCAAGAAGAGAGTAGTGCACTTGCCCTGATTTAGGCAATCATCAGCGCCAAGATTATGGACCTCCTTGGGCTGGTGACTCAGGGGTCATCTAATTGGAAATGACTCCCCTTGCACAACGCTCTCCGCAAGGCACCCTTCACCTCTGCATTCCTCAAGGTGTAGATCAGGGGGTTCAGCATTGGGTTGAAAATGCTGTAAAACAGGAAAAGGACCTTCTTCTGCTCCTCAGGGTGGCTGGATTTGGGAGCCATATATGTGACAATAGCGCTGCCAAAGAAGAGCCCGACCACGCAGAGATGGGAGGAGCAGGTGGAGAAGGTCTTTCTTTGTCCCTCCCCAGACTGGATCCTCAGGATGGCAAAGAGGATGCAGGTGTAGGAGACCAGCACCAGGCAGAGGGGCCCCACCAGGATGAACACACAGGCTGCAAATATGACTACTTGGTTGAGCCGGGTGTTCGCACAGGCCAGCCTCAGGACAGACAGGATTTCACAGAAGAAGTGGTTGATCTCATGAGGCCCACAGAAGGGTAGCCTCAGGATGAGAACCACATGGACCAGGGCCAGGAGGGAGCCACATTACCAGGAAGTGATGGCCAGGGTGATGCAGAGCCTCCAGCTCATGATGGCAGAGTATTGAAGGGGATGGCAGATGGCCATGTAACGATCATAGGACATCATCACCAGGAGAAGACATTCCGTGTGAGCGAAAGTCATAAAGAGGAAGGTCTGTGTGATGCAGCCAGCAAAGGATATGGGTGTGGTGGGACTCAGGAGGTTCACCAGCATCTGGGGCACTGTACTGCAGGCATAGGCTATGTCGACAATGGCCAGGTGGGAGAGAAAGAAGTACATGGGGATGTGCAGTCTGAGGTCCAGAGAAATGAGCCCTAGGATGGCCCCATTTCCTAGTAGAGTGAAGACATAGAACAGAGAGAAGTTCCCAAAGAGAAGCAGCTGCATCCTTGGGCCAAGACAAAATCCTAGCAGGATGAACTCTGTGACTGACGTCTGATTTTCTCCCATTTCCTGGTGAAAGAGACAACCAGATAGCTCTGTGACACAATTATTTAAAAACATCTCCCTTATTTACTGTCCCGTGAATTTTTAATGCATGAAAAATTATTATTAAACTATTTTAAAAACTCATTCAATTATAAATAAATGAAGATTTACATTTTTTAAAAAAATTAAGGGTCTGTTGTCTAAATTCTTAATCTGACATCGATTTTACACAAGTGTATTATGTCCTGTGTAATTTGGCATCTAGAGCCATTGACCCTGTGATGGACAGAAAAAAGAAAAAATCAAATCAGAATACAAAGAAAATAATCACTAAGTGTGGATGGTCTCTCAGCTGCATATGTCCAAATCAGTAAGATAATTTTTTGGAGAGTAAAAATGATCTGTAATGGAAGAACTTTAAAAATGAGAATAGTCTTAGAATGGAAAAAAATTTAACTTCAGTAGAAATCATGGTTGAGTCACTTTCAATATCTAAATCTAACTAGAGAATCTAAGGGCATGCCTTACGCGGCACTAAACCAAATACCAAACCCACTGCTGTTGAGTAGAGTCCAACACACAGTGACCCTGTAGGACAGAGTAGAACTGCCAGGAGGGTCTCCCAGGCTGTAAAGCTTTACGGAAGCAGACTGCCACATCTTTCTCCTGAGGAGCAGCTGGAGGGTTCGAACCACTGACCTTTCGGATAGCAGCCGAGTGCTTAACCACTGTGTTACCAGGGCTCATTATATGACATTGCTGGGAGCAAATTATGAATTAGCAACCTTTATGACAATGTTTTTGGTTAGTGAGTAGGAAGGAAGCAGTGGATATGATATATCTCTATCTCTGTCACTTCTATCTCTATCTCTCTAACTTCTCTTCTTATATACACATACATACATACACACATATACACTGTGTGTGTGTGTGTGTGTAAAATACATATTTTTACTTTGGAAAATGGGAACAAACCAGCATTTGACAATGTGACAATTAGTCTACTGACTTATAAAATCATTAATATACACAATTTTTATAATAGGACCCATATTGTTTAGAGCAATTAGCGTTTCATCTTGCATCTTCGTGTTACAAACTGGTTCCCTGTGCGCACAGTATAAGTGTGTTTGCATTCCCATATGCTCACAAGAATTTCCATGGTCAATATGGTGGGTGCATATGGACACATATGTGAAAACAATTGCAAGTATAATTCCCCTTGTGCTACGTGTATAGTCCTCTTTTCTATTTTGTCTCAAGACTGGAAAATCTATGAATCAAGAGAATAAAAAAGGCCATGGCCTGGAATGAAAATATGAAGAAAATAAACCCACCCGGCTGTTAATTCAACCCTTGACATTTGTAACATGCACTATACCTGAAATCCAAAACAGTTGCCATCCTCAGCCACGAGAATTGTGAAATACTTTGTTGTTGTTGTTGTTAGGTGCCCTCCAGTAGGTTCCGACTCATGGCGACCCTATAGGACAGAGTAGAACTGCCCCATAGGATTTCCAAGGACCTGCTGGTGGATTTGAACTGCTGACCTTTTGGTTAGCAGAAGAGTACTTAACCACTATACCACCAGGGCTCCTGAAATACTATAAAAGTAGCTAATAGAAACAAATAATTGTAAATTGGTTTCTTTGAATTGGCTGTCACATGCTTAGTCTATGAATTATGCTAACTTAACGAATCGGGCTTTGTGACCTTGGAACTTGGGTCACAGCTTCCTCAATGAACAATGTTGAAATTCAACATGTTTTCTAGTGCAGACACTTGTCAGAGGCAAAAGAACTGAAATTTAGAATCTTCTCCAGGATTAATGCAAGGAAAGGTGCTGATTTGAGGCAGTTCTTGGTTTAGTGATCAATGGAGATGTCAAGTTAGTACTCCCCCAGGACCTTGAATATAAGAGACAGGATACATTCTAGAAATAAACTTGTGAAAGCAACATGCAACTATGAGAATAGCTATCAGGAGGGCGGAAACAGCACACTATTAGGGAACATGTAACTAGAGACTGTGGGGAGCCCCCAAACTCCACAGAAGGTGCTTTGGTGCAGAAAGAGGCCTAGGCATGTGACTATGATCCAGTGAACCAGATAGTCAGTTGTATGGGGAACCTGTCTGGAGAATGACCTCAGAAAGAGAAGGACGGTGTCCATGTGGAGTGTAGACAACGACTAGAGTGACAGCATTTGCCAGTGCTTCTTCGAGGACATCCAGTGGGGGAGGAGCCTGGGCAGTTGACCTTAACTCCTGAAGTTCTATGTCTACAGTCTAGATGGATGGATTGGGTCATCTGTGATCAATAACTCTAGCCATGTGAGATCTCTGATTAACCCCCCTTTGCTCTAATCCCTCGCTCCGCAATATGCCAATAGTTTATCTTTTTGTGCAGATATTTCTGCAAAGGACAGTGCTCTTCAGGTAAGTTCTTGGCCCATTTTGCTGTTGCATTTTAAATTTTAAATAAATAAATAAATAGACACTCTGGCTTATTTACTGTCCTGTTGAGGTTGTAGACGGCATGATGCCGTTCATGAACACAGTTCCCAAAGCTGGATCTACAAAGTGAAGACCTGACCCTGGAGCGAGGTGTCATCATTGAGGCGAGACTGGGAAGAAACACCAGAAGCCCTGAGAACCATTGCAGTTGGGATGCCTGTTTTCTTATGGGCATTACCGATAAATAGTCAAATCATCTGGACAAAATGCAATCTAAGCAATGTGTTAAAACTTCCACACTCATGACCAAGATTTAGTTGATTTTCAAGTTACTGTGACAAATGTCTGCACCTCACAAACCTTTTAAATTTATTTTTAAACACATAAAGCATGGGAAAATATTTGACTGTGAAAGATGCATTTGAATCCACCCACTTATAAAACCTCTTTTTCTAATACTCCTTTGTTTCCTTCTGTAATACTCAAGATGAAAATATAAAGGAAAAAAGGAACACAGTGCAAAACTTGGGTTTTTAAAGCTAAACTGAATGTCAGATGCAAAACGTCAGAGAACATTAAGATTGTTTCAACACAGTCACCCTGATCGTCTCCTACTAGATTTCTTCGACGGCAGTGGGATGCGCTTCCTCATGTTTGTACCCCTGGAAGTTAATAAATATTTGTTGGATAGCAAACAAATGAATAAACATAAATAAATAAGCAAACACCTAAATGTTGATTTCCTTATATTCAGTACGATTTCTTTTAAAATGTATTTATGTCAAGTTCAGTCCATTGCTCCCAAACAAAATAAAAGTATAGCAATACCAAAGAATTTCATCCCTGATTATGTATATTAAAACCAAACCAGAAAAAAAAACCCGTTGCTGTTGAGTCGATTCCGACTCATCGTGACCCTATAGGAGAGAGTAGAACTGCCCCATAGGGTTTCCAAGGAGCACCTGGTGGATTCGAACTGCCGACTTTTGGTTAGCAGTGGTAGCGCTTAACCACTACATCACCAGGGTTTCCTTTTTTTTTTTTTTGTGCATTAAAACAGGGCATTTAAAATTTGATAAGAACAAGCAAAGAATTTTCATAGCATTTAAACAATTGAATTCTGGATGCACTTCTCTTTTTCTTTTATTGTCCCCTCATTTTATTTGATACTTAAATGACATATCTAATGATAGTTAAAAACAGCCAACTGAAACTCAGACAGATTCCATTTCCCATGGGGCGATGAGAGGTGAAGAGGATAGGCTTGAAATATAACCCAGTTCCAAATGAAACTTCCAGGCATACTCACGCATATGAATTTATATGTATTTATCGTTATGAGTCAGAATTGACTGACGACACGCAACAACAGCACGTATGTACAAGTTCAGAATTTAAGGAATGACACATTGTTATCTGGTTAATATATAGGCAGGCAACTCTAAGGTTCCAAAGTAGATATCTAATAAGGAAAGCATCTCTTCATGTATTAACAAAGCTTCAGGAACTTGATGGTTCTATCAAAAAGTAAATGTCAAAGTTGATGAGCTGGCAAGTTCTTTCCTAAAGTAGTGGACGAGAGTAAAGCAGAATTCCTAATAAAGTGATCACCTATTGTGACATCCACAACTCAACTGAACTGTAGGGTTGACAACAAGTCCATCTTTCTGCCTGCACAGTTATAAGCCAAGATTTGGCAAAATTGACTTAAGGGGTGAGGGTTGAGAGGTGACTGACGTTCTGGGTGCAGGAACTCCTTTGGACCATGGACAAGAGCTGAGTGCCAGTCTCATGTAATCACAGGTTCTCCTGTTACAGGCTGATCATCACTGGTGGTCTCTATGGAGTGATTCCTGTGGTCAGGTACCACAAAAGCGGGTCGGGAAGGAGTTGATGGTTCTGACTTTTGTGGAGATTTTAGTGTGAAAGAACAGGAGAGAGAGCAGGGATAAGTAAAAAAGGTACACATTAAACAGAACTCTTGCAAGAAAAAGTAAGGTATTATTCACGACCTCACTGTTCTCCACCTTGAGGTAATACTTCACTCCCTTTTCTGTAATCTTTTCATTCCCACCTCGAACACTTTTCTCTGTGCTACAGAACAACTCATATTTACACAACTTTATGGAGTATGAGAGCATAGGTGCCTGATACTGTCCTTAAACCTGTGCTTAATGACAGAGGCATGTAAGACTGATTCAATATCCACTCTGCTTCACATTCCGCAGCAGGGAATCTTCTCTCATAGACTTAGTGTGAGAGAACAGACTACCGTGGGTATGCTGACAGGAATTAAGTGCATAATTCATAAATAACCAACATCTGTTAGTTTTCTTGATGTAGGATCACTCCATAATATACCCTACTAGTATTTCTTTTGACTAGGAAAATTATGCCGTATATCTAATGTAAATCACAATAAAGGTCTTCTTTATTTCATTTTTTCAGTATCTTCTTCCCCAGACAAATCTCTATCAAATGGCTTTTATCCACCAGTGGAAATAGCATTCAAATTCTAAACATTTTTACATGTTTTGTCCATAAAATGTGCATATAATTTTGTATCACTTTCCCTGGAACTGCTCATATAGGATACTGATGATGAGCATGTATGTTTAACA